AGCCTGGTACCTCAGGGTACCGGAGGCCCTGTCCGGCGGATCTGTCACCCTTCCGCCGTAGCAAAACGCCTCCCTCGCTGGGTTTCGTGCCGCTGGCTTCGCAGCCGCGGTTAGGGTTAGCACGGTACTCTTTCCACCTTTTTGGCTAAAACCGACCCCGTTTTCCTTTTACAGGAATTTCATGGTGACGGGCTTGCAGGATATCGACAAGTGCCGGCAGCAGCTTCACGACATCAGCGTGCCCTTGGAAGTTTTTGAGTAGGTAACTTTGTCCCTGGAAGGGAAGGTGCTGTTAGTCGGTGCGGTTCGAGGTAGCCGTGTCGTTGCAGCGTGGGTATTTTCCCTGAGGACTGCTTGTTCCTTAAACTCCGTCTTCTGAATCCCTCGCGAGAGTGTGAGCAGGCAGAAGAGGGTAAGAAAAGTACCTTTAGCCTGGGAGAAGGTGGAAGGGTAAGAGAAGTGATAAATTACAGACCTGTTTTCAGACTTTTTTTTTTTCTTTTTTTAATTTATATTGACTTTACATAAAGCGACACAGATTCTGCCGAATCTAGTGATTTAGTTAGTAAGCATTCTTTTTGGAAATACACTTTTACTCTAGGTTAGAATCAGGGTTTAAAGTTGCAGATGAAAATAAATTAGGCCCGTACCTAGGTGTTTAGTTTTGGTAGTGGCAATCTTCTTGCTGGCAGGGAATTAGAACACTGAAAGCAAAATCGTGAATGTAGAGAGCTTTTACGATATAGCTGACAAGGTAATTTACTGGTGTGTCTTCTAAGTCCAAATGTCACTGGTTTGCTATATTCTGGCGTGTTACTGGCTATACAGGACTTTTTTCTGTTGGGCCTTCAATCTATTTGTAAATCTACAGTGGCAATCTTAAATGTTTTGTCTTCTTGTGATGGAATTTCCCTTTGTCAGGCACTGATATTGCAAAGTAAAAAATACCTTTAGAGGTTTGCCAGCAGAGGCATGTTAACTTTTACTCTTTGCTATGGTATGTACACTTCCTCCTCATCCTTGAATTGCTGGGTGCTGTACTCCTGTGTGCTTATTGCTCACCACCTACTAACTGAGCTACTTTATGGTTAGCACCCTTTCAGTTGCTTGGAAAAGGACCATCTTTGTTCATTTGTGTGCACTTGCTGCCTGTGAGGAGCTGGGTAGCTATGTTTTCTGTTTGCCTTTAATACTTTTTTTCAAAGCTCGAGGCTTTCTGGAAACAAAGACTTAAAGCAGCATACCAAGACACCTGTTGGCTGGCCACGGCCTTGTCGTCCTTGAGCTGTCTGAAAACGGCTGAGTTAGACCATGTTTTTTAAAATGCACATTTCAGATAATAGTAGTAACAACAACAAAAAAAAAGACAGCAAGGTGAATAATTCTGTACCTTGAAGAACATCCTAGTAGGAATGTGGTCATTTAGGTAGTATCTTTTCTGTTTTCAGATACATAGATCAAGGCCGCAATCCTCAGCTTTACACTAAAGAGTGTCTGGAGCGAGCTTTGGCTAAAAATGAGCAAGTAAAAGGAAAAATTGACACGATGAAGGTAAACCAGAAATAGTGAAAGTATCAATGTAATAATGTATTTGATACGTTTTTACTTTTCTGTAAATATTGGGGGGGGGGGTGTAACTTGTGCAGTTATTAAATTCCCTTATTAAGTGATTTGTATGAGGAATTGCTCTGTATCCCTCTATCTTAATTGATGCTAATGCAGCCTGTTCTGGAAAGGAAACTTGAAATTCATCCCACAGTTGGAGATGCAGATGCCTCTATGGTTTTATTTTGATTAAAGTTGTATGTAGCATTGCAGATCTTGTTGTTGTTGTCATCATTTTGAATACTAGTGAGTACCTCACACTGTTACAGATCTATAACTGTGATGTGTGTAAACTTAGAGATAAGCAAAACAGAAGGGATATTTTTCCAGACTGGATCTTAGAGTATTAAAATGCCGAACATGCTATATAAGCAGGAGTTAATCTTCATAAGGTTACTTAAAATGTGTGACAGTGTTTAGGGTTTTCTGAACTTGCACTTTCACCTAGTATGAACCTAAACATTCTGCGCTACTATTTAACTGCTGTAATTACTGCTGAAAAAAAAAATTGGAAAAGGAAGTTCAGTAAGATTTGAGAAGGGGCTGTTTGTGTTTCAGAAAGTTCTTTGGCTGAACTTAAAGTAGTGTGGAGGATGGCAATTTGTGCTGCAGAATGTATTCGTACCTCCATATGTTCTAAGCACTTCTCTTTCTTTCAGTGTGCTCTGTGCTTGTAAAAGATGTAGGAAGAATTACGTATTTCTAAGCCTGGTGGAGGGGGTTGCATATGAAATCAAGAGGACATGTCCTTTGTCAGCTTTGCTTAATAAGGTCAGGCAGTAATTGATGCACCAGGGCTTACCAGAGAGGTCCAACTACTTTGTATTTCTTGAGTGAAAGTGCTAGTTAACTTATGGGAAGTCAAATGCATTTTAGTTTGCCTGGTGCTTTCCTAGTGGATTTCACCTGAGCATTTTCTGTGAATTCTGTAAAAGTAACTTTCTGTGTTTGTGCGCGTTTGTGTTTTGAGGGATTTTTTTGGGTACCCTTTTCTTGGGTTACTGAAATGTAGAGCTGTTCATCAGATAACACTGCTTGATGAAATCTAAATAAATTGTGCAGGTGTTGTATATACACTTTTTTCTCTTTCCAGAAATTTAAGAGTCTGTTAATTCAAGAACTGACAAAGGTCTTCCCAGAAGACATGGCAAAGTACAAAGCTATTAGAGGAGAAGATCCTCCTCCTTAAGCTGGCTTTGATGGCTCAAAAAAATACCAATTCCATAAACTGACACCACTCTATAAAATCATTGATTGGAGAGAGGGGGAATCCAAGCCTTCGTGACAACTGTACCAAGAATGGCAGTGATGGACTGCAAAGGAGCTTGATTGTTGATGCTTCTGGTGAGAAGCTACTGCATCTTCCCGAAGGCTTTTACTCAAAGGTTGCAGTTGAAACTTCCTGTGGTGATCTATTCTTCTTTCCCGGAAGGTTTTGGAGATGTAATTGCCCACAGGTCATCAATACATAGCATTTCCCACAACGTGCATTTCCAGAGCAGAAAATCATGGGTTTTGTCTTCTGAAAAGTGTGCTCCTGGATTGTGGGCTCATCTGTTTTTAAGAGAAATACATTTATCACACTTGATTATTCTTTCATTTGTAAACTGCCTTTTTTTTTTTTTTTATTACAGTAGAAACAATTGACTGCTTCCATCTTGCCAGATTCTACTGAACAGGAGCCTGTCAAGGGCTGCAGTTCTCCTGTGTCATAATGAGTCACAGCCAAGAAAACCTCCAGATATTTTTGTTTTGCTCTGTGAGCTGCAGTGCAGGTGGCCGAGGACATAGCAAGTGAGCATATTTGGGGACTAGCTCCTCAACAATGTTAGTATTTTGTATAGTATTTAATGTAAGCTTTTGTTTAATTCTGTTCTCTTTCTGTAAGCAGGTTGAATAAAAATTTGAAAAAAAAATTAAAAAAAATTGAGTTCTATCGTTTTTCTGTTGTATGCTACTCTTTGGAGAATGAAGTGAAAGCTGTGAAAAACGTAAGCAGGTTGAATAAAAATTTGAAAAAAAAATAAAAAAAAATTGAGTTCTATCGTGGAGAATGAAGTGAAAGCTGTGAAAAATAGCATATTCCTCAGTCTCACAGTGATAGAAATAAACTTTTAACAGCTGAGTTTTGATACACATTTTATATCTGACAGTAATGTCAACTTGGCACTTCGGTTTTGTGGGGAGAACTTCCGTTTTGGTACCTGAAGCAGGAGATTTTGGGGATCAGTGATTGTTACCTGGAGCGTTTCTGATTAGCTGGGAACTCATCTGTGAAGTCTATGATCATTCGTATGTAAGCTAGGCCTGACGTAGAATGGGGTGTTGGGGTCGCTACCCGGGGGCACAGCGCACGTGCAGAAGCGTAGTTTTACAGTGGAAGCCAGAGGACCTCTTTTAACCTTGGGGACTTGTGAAACTCAAACCCTTTGTGCTCCCATTTGTCCTTCCAGATGCACCTTGACTTGTTTTTGCACTGGCAAATGTTTTTACTATTTTGTTAACTTTCGTTTAGGTGCTAAACTTAGCAGTTGTGGGCAGGAGCTGCAAAATACCACTATGTCCGCGTGCCCTGTGGCAGGCCTACCTTGTCCATCAAAGACCTTAACGGGGACTTAGGTCTGTTTGAGTTGTTAGTGCCGTAGTTTCCGGACCTGCGGTACTGTCTGTCCTCAGTTGCCTAGCTGAAGCAGAGCCCATCCCTAATGCTGGGCAATGCCACACTTGACCAAGCTTTGGCCTAGTGGAAGGAAAAAGAAAAACAGAAACTAGGTGGTCCTCTGCATTCCTTATTTAAGACTTGTTACCTGGCAATCTCGGTCTAACTGCTGCCTGATACTGCCCTGCCCTAGTCTGCACGCTTGCTTTTCCTTGTATTTGCTCCCCGCTAATCGCTCTTTCTCCCTTTGCAATTTTACTGCACTAACTTGGCAGAAAACAGCGGTGCAGGAAAAAGCGCCCCGCGTTTGCCCGGATTGCCCGAGGTCCCTGGGAGCTGTTGGAGCAAGGCCTGTGACTCGTGAGTGGGATGCGTACAGGGCACGAGCAAAGAAGGTAAGAGTGTTTTTTCTGGTGTGTGTGATGTGGCGGGAAGCGGAGTTTGAGAGCCAAAACGTCGGCAGTGGGCAGGTGAAACTGTTAATTGGTAGTTGAGAGAGAACCATTTATGGGACACGAGGCCAGTACATACCAGTCTGGATACTGGGGTATTCTGGTTCCTAGCGCTGACACCAATTTGTGAGTCAGACTTGGTGGAGCAGCACATTTAAAAAAGGGTGCTTCCAGTAAGTCTTATTTTTATATCTTGTTCCAAAATATATATTACCCTGGTTGTGCAAATTCTCTTAGAAATTCATATTAAAAAGAAGAAATAATCTAGATAGTCCTTGACATTTGGGTTTTTTTGATCTGTAAACTTTCCAGGGTGAGTCTTAATGCTTTAGAGCATACTTGGTAGATTTAATTTTTTGTAACACCAACTTAGGGGGAAAAAAAAATACGAAAGCACTCTAAAACTCGTACGAAAACAAACCACATAGGATTCCTCTGTAGAGCAAGCTGGCTTTTGGTTGAATGTAGATGGACTCCCTGGGGAAGCACTGGAATAGGTTGGCCAGATGGGTGGTCTTTGCAGGTTTTTAAGACTCACCTGGACTAGGCCCTGAGCAGCCTGATCTAACTCAGCCGCTGGCTCTGCTTGGAGCAGGAGCCAGGCTAGGTGAACTCTAGAGGCCTGTTCCAATCAGTCTGATTCTGCGATTCTGTGATTCAAATAACAAGAGCTTTTAAGTACAAAGAAGGGTAAAGGGTAGGGGCTAAAATTGCTGAAAGAGGAAATTTGGATTAGGCATTAAAAACCAATCTTCCTGTAAGGCTAGCAAAGCTATGGTATAGTTTTCTTGTGGAGTTTTCCTCAGAACAGTCATGAGACATTGGTAGAGTTGATCCTGCCTTAAAGCAGAGGGAGAAATAAGATGGCTTCTTGAGGTCCTTTCCAGCGCTTTTTTGACGATAGGATTTTGCCATTCAGAAAAAAAACAAAAACAAAAAAATCCATATGGATTAGTGTAAAGTATTTCTTGAAAAGAGAGCAGGGACAGAGAGCAAGGGCAAGAGACAGCAGGCCTGAGTTGTAAGGAAGGAAGTGTGATGGACAGGAGGAGTAAGTTCTTCCCTCCGAGGCTGGCTTGCTGCCTTCAGAGGTTTTCCCAGCTGTGTTAGGACAAGGGGAAATGGTTTTAAACTAGAACAAGGTAGGTTCAGGCAAGAGGTAAGGAAGAAATTTTTTACAATGAGGGTGGTAAAACACTGGAACAGGTTGCAGTGGAGGCCCCATCCCTGGGAACATTCAAGGCCAGGTTGGATGGGGCTCTGAGCAATCTGATCTAGTTAGCAGTGTCCCTGCTCACTGCAGGGGGGTTGGACTAGATGACCTCTAGGGGTCCCTTCCAACCCTAAACATTCTATGATTCTATGATTCTATGATCTTGCCTGTACAAAGCCCTGAGCAATCAGACACAGCTTAAATGTTAAACAGCTGAACTGGATAACCTGCAGAGGTCCCTTCCAACCAATTTCTTTTCTATCATTCTATTATCTGACCTTATCACAGTTGGGAGGTTTTTGAATACTCAGTCTCAACAGTGATTTTTTTTTTGTTTGTTTTGTTTTGGGTTTTTTTGTTGCAGTATGCTGCAGATGATGTTGGTATTTAACCAGTGCAGGGGCCTTTGCTCTTACGTAGTGTGAATTGTGATTAGCACCCACGCCTGTAGGTGAAGTGCTGAAGAGATGCCGCAAGTAGCTTTTTCATTTGCTTTTCAAGGCGTTGGGTTGCAAGCATAAGTGGTTTTAAAGATCTTTAGGATCAGGAACAGTTCAAAGTATATGCAAAGTCAAGTTTTCTTTGAAACAAAGGCGAGGCCTCTGGAGGAACTAAACTCTCCAGGTACTTCTGTCTGTCTAGTGCATTGTACCTACTAATTTTTAAACCCACTGCATTTAGTGGGCATCTCTGTACCTGTTTCAAATTCATCACATTAATGATGCTTTCCCTGTTGGTAACTTCAGAGATGTTACTGTTGTTACATAAGATTTTTTTTTTTTTCAACCAGGAGAGACCTTATATTTTTGATTGCTTAATAAAAAAGTCAAACACTTGGTTTTACATTCTGCTTCCTCCTTTGATTCAGCTCCTTTGCTGTGATGCCATTCAAAACCTTCTAGCTTGTAATTTTTGGTTTGAACACCATATTCTAAAGTGTAGTCCTCGTTTTCAAATTAGTTTTGTACACATATGGTTACTTTGAAGTTTGAGCCTTGGGTACTAATTTGACAGTATCACACAACGTTCTGCTGGTGCTGTGAAAATACCATCGCAGGTTTTACATTCTAGATGTTGTGTAGAGCTTAGCATCACATATGTCTCCATCAGTTTATACGCCGACCGGCTCTGTGTTGATCAGCTCAGCGCTAACGC